CCTGCGGTTATCTAGAGAACAAAAAAAAATATACCTACAGAAATTGTAGGGCTTTTTTTTCACATTTCGTTTATTTTCCTAATAGACTTAATTGCCTGAGTTTTTAAAGTTATTTTTTGGTAAATACGGGTATTTCGTTTCTATAACTATAAACTCGCAACCGTCATTGACTGATCGATTATCATCATTAATATTAAGACAAGAAGTTTTCCTACGAATAAACTCCACTTCTTATTCTGTATATTGATAAAAATTATTTCCAAAATCCATAATATTTATCATTTTTCGATAGCATAAAATATCTAAAATTGAAGGATTATACTTATAAAAAAACGAGTTAAAAAATTTCCCGCCGGTGTGTGTGTGTGTTATAATTCGCATTCGCACGAATTGATAAATACAAAATGATATCCGATGTAATTATTTTAATCTGGATGATAATGTTCGAGGTGGACTTTTCGTGATCGCGATAACATCTATCATTTATTACAAAATACGCGTCGCATTTCGAACCGAAAGTAAATTATATACCGGTTGTCTGCTCGCGTATCCGGAATAACTACACAAAATTACAGCGACTTGTTTTATTGAAGCTTATGTAAAATTGGCTATAGCCAAGCTAGAAACTTGAAATTTTAATGAAACATAGTCTCATATATTATCTTAGAGTGCACCAAGTTGCATCGTCCCTACTCAATTACAAAGGATTGAACCACCCCTTTGAATGAGACGTTATACACTGTTCATAAAAATTAGTCACTCGCGTTTAAAGCCCTGTAAATTAGGCTACAGTCGAGCTAGAGTCGTGAAATTTTCGTCAAATATAGCCTCATAACTTGTCTTAAAGTATACCAAGTTGCATCATCACTGCACAATTGCAAAGGGTGGAACCACCCCTTTAAATGAGACGTTATACACTGTTTATAAAAATTAGTAACTTTTAACTCGCATATTGAAGCGCTGTAAAATTGGCTATAGTGGAGTTAGAGACGTGAAATTTTCAGCAGGTATAGCCTCGTATGTTGTCTTAGCGTCCCCCAAGTAGCACCATTCACATTTAATTCTAAACTTCTTTGAATGAGATCATGTATGAGATCGAATTTATTGTGGAAAATTTGTAAGTTTTTGGGGTGTTTAAATGTTGGCACCCTAAAGGAAATTTAGATAGATTTTTTGGTAGATTCTAAGAGGGATTATGAAGCTATATTTGCTAAAAATTGTAAGTTTCCCGCTTAGCTGTAGGCAATTTTGTAAAATTGCCCTGTAGGGCATCAAAAACATTTAATTCTAAAAGGGGGAAACAACTTCTTTGAATGAGATCATGTATAAAATCGAATTTATTGTGGAAAATTTGTAAGTTTTTGGGGTGTTTAAATGTTGGCCCCCTAAAGGAAATTTTGGTAGATTTTTTGGTAGATTCTAAGAGGGGTTATGAAGCTGTATTTGCTAAAAATTTCAAGTTTCTAGATTAGCTGTAGGCAATTTTACAGGGCATCAAAAAAGCGAATCACTAATTTTGATAAAAAAATGTAGGTCAAATTCAAAGGGGTGGTTCAACCCTTTCTAGTTAAATGTTGATGATGCTATTTGGTAGACTTCAAAATAACATATAAGGCTATACTTGCTGAAAATTTCAAGTTTCCAGCTTAGCTGTATACAATTTTACAGTGCGTCAAAAAAGCGAGTCACTAATTTTGATAAAAAAATGTAGGTCAAATTCAAACGGATGGTTCAACCCCTTTCTAGTTAAATGTTGATGATGCTATTTGGTAGACTTCAAGACAACATACGAGGCTATACTTGCTGAAAATTTCAAGAGTCTACCTCGTAAAACACATGCAATTCCTCCAGCGTCTCAAGTAATTAGAAACCAAGAATTATATTTCTTACTCGACAACGAATAACGCACTCCGTCGGGGATCCACCGGGGGTTAAAATCCGCCAGTTTTTCGAAAACGAATCGCAAAATCCATCCCAAAAAAAACGTGCACCCAGCACCAACAAACGCGCTACTGCGAATCCAACCCATCCAACGAAATCGGAATAACATCCAAGCGAATAACCGACGGACGGAGATCGACATCGTCCCCGAATATGTTCCGTGATGGACCCGACGGAGACGACTTCCTGCACGCCCTATTGCGTGCTGCACGTTAGGCACATTCTGCAAACTGTTGCTCGTCCTGCCTCCGACGCGTCCTCGTGTCACTGATCTACATTAACGTTATTGTTCACCCGTTAATCCAGATGCGCCAAATCGGGTCGATATACGATCGATTTTTCTTCGATTCCTTCGGCATACTTCCGTTTCGTTGGTTAGCGATAAAAGTTACACTTTTAAGCTTCTTTGTATGTAGGGTGTACTTAAATATCGTGTACATCCGAAAGGGGGTGGATTCCTTGGCTTATTTTAAGACGAAAAGTTTATATAAAAGTGGGTCTGCAAACGCTTCGTTGCCGATCTACAGGGTGTTGAAATTTCAAGATTTTTTTTGTTTCTTTTTAGAGTTCCTGCAATTTTTGAGATATTTAGCTCAAATTAGGTATAGGATATAGGGTTATAGAGTATAATTTGAGTAGGAGGGGGTCACTTTCAACATTGATTACAATGTAATTTAATAATTAATATTTAGGGTTTTTGTTTTGTAAAATAAATCATTTGTACAGATAATCATTTCTAATTTTTTTCTCGAAAACGGTCACAGAAACGAAAAAGTTTAAAAATAAAAACAAGTTTCTAAACGGAACAGACAATTAATTTTGTATTTTAGAATCTACCAGCGGCGCACAGCAAAAAAGTTCGGGTGAAAAAAGGGCACATGACCCCTGAAAAAATATCACCCTGTGGAATTCAACAACCATCTGATATACCCAATATTGTGTGCACTATAAAGCAATCTAGATTCAAAATTTGAGCTAAATATCCCAAAAAGTGCAGGAGTTAAAAAGAAAAAACAAAAAATTTGAAATTTCAACACCCTGTAGATCGGTAACGAAGCATTTGGGGACCCACGTTTATATGAACTTTTAGTCATAAAATAAGCCAAGGAATCACCCCCTTTCGGATGTACACGATGTTTAGGAACACCCTGTATAGCTTAATATAGGCGAATATAGGCTTAATATAGACGAAAACTTAATTGGAGAAAATGAGTTGAGTATAGAAACCATCTATTGGTTAAAAGGACGAGTTTTGAACGTACACACACCTGCAGTACTGTTAGTTTCTCGGTATAACAAAGCGGTATCATTTACAGAATCTTCGGGTCGGTGTGGATATTAAAAAAAAAATAAATAATAACAGCTGTCGGATCGGGAAAAAAATGCTATGTACAAAATCCGGCTGTCAATCAAACGGGAATTCTACCGAACCGAAAAAAAAAAATATAATAACGCCGAGGAGACTGTATCAAAAACATGTCGATATCACGGGAAATTATATTCCATTATGTGGTATCAAGTAGGCAAATTATTTTTTTCGGGAAATATTTAATTCGATAATGACGGGGCGTAATTATTCCGAAACGGGGCAATTTCGTTGGTTCTCTTTCGGATTTCGGAAATACTGGAGGTTTACAATGAGGCGGTAAAAATCGCAGGACCGTACTTATTAGTGTTTCTATAATTCGTGAGATGGAATTTATTTGTAATCGTCTTCTCTATAGCTCCGTAAAAAATATATATTTTGACAACAATGGGTTGCCTACCTATCAGGCATACAAACCCAAAATTGTATTATATCGAAATATACTGCTCCACAAAAGTTAAGGAAGTTCATAAATATTGAGATTAATTTAAAAGTTGCAGGTTTTGTGATCGCCAAATTTAGTATAAATTGTAGAGAAAGGGACAAAAAATCCACTCAGATATGAGAGAAAACATTTAATTTCGCATATTTGAAAATTTGGTGATCAAAAGAGTCTGAAAACTTTTAAAATAATCGCAAAATTTGCAAATTTCCTTAACTTTTGTGGAGCAGTATATTTGTGTTTAGAATTGATATTTTGCCTCAAAAATCTTCTGGATTCATATCCACAAAACCACCCCTAACATCTTCTAACGCGAATTTAGTCGAAATCAACGAATTTCACCCGGTATAACAGCCGCATTTTTCGTACCTAGACGTTAAATATATTTTTTTTAGAATCGTTATTTTATTGTCCGTTCCATTTTAATTGTAACTTTTCGATAAGAGAGTTTACGGGCGCCGTTTTGTGTGCCACGTCGAGATCGCATCGGGCTTATTTAGCTGTCAGGGGCGCATCAAACAAACCCTATAATTTCGCTCCGAACAAGCCGGGACAATTTACCCAAACAGATTACAAACACAAAGAAACGGAACAAATACCTACTCGCGCGGTCAATACCACACCGATGGTTTTTTATTTTTATTTTTGTTTTTAATTTATACTAAAACGTGGAGTATGTTTAGGAATAGTGAAGGAATTAAGGGAAGTTTTATAGTATTCTATGAAATATAAGATGAATTATGGCGAGTTATAACAGAATTATGCATTTTATGAGGCAGGAGAAGATGAATTAAAGCCAAATTCTGCATTCTATGAGGAAGAAGTAGGAAGAAAAATAAAGAAGAAGGTGAGTTAGAACAGGATCATGTATTCTATGAGGCAGAGGAAGATGAATTGGAGCAGAATTCTGCATTCTGAGACAGAAGAAACTGAATGTGAGCAGAATTATGTATTCTATGAGGCAGAGAAAGATGAATATGAGCAGAATTTATGTATTCTATGAGGTAGATGAAGATGAATTGGAGCAGAATTCTTCTTTCTATGATGCAGAAGATGAATTAGAACAGAATTATATATTCTATGAGGCAGAGAAAGATGAATTGGAGCAGAATTTTGCATTATGTATGAAAATTATTGTTAGATTAAAGGAATAATATATGGAAGACTGAAGGGTTGCGGAAATATGAAGGACATTTCAGAAAAAACAAACCCAAATTTCGCAATTATTTTTTATATCAAAATCGATTATAATATTTATAGAAAAAAAAACCTTAACCAACAAAATCCATAAAGATACTATGATGAAAACAAACGACATTTACGTTACACATCAACAACAACAACAACAATCGCAAAAAAAATCAAATATAAAAAACCGCGTCTTTTCTTTCGAATAAAAAAAATCTTATTGATTAAAAATTGTGTCGACCTTTATTATGAGCTGTTACAAGTTCACAAATAAAAACAAAATCTGGAGAGCAGCGCAACTATTTGTTTTTCCCTTAAATCTTACTTAAAAAAACCGGACGAACGATAACAAATTCTCCCTACCTTTCTCGCCAAAAAAAAAACGCCTCGCGACATTTCTTTTCATCACACTACCGTCAAAAAAAATAATAATAAATAATTCAACACAAGCTACACGTAGTAACTGGGAGGCACCGTCAGGTCGCTCAGCAGGCTCAGCTCCTCCTCGGTGAATTTGAGCTTGTGCGTCTCCCAGTTGCTGTGGTGCGTTCGCTTGAAATCGCCCAAAGTCTTTCGGATTGTCGCCTTCGAAAGCACAATAGAAGACACGTTAGAATGATTGAACAATAGATGAAAAAAAAATTGTGCTGAATAAGTCTGGATTTTGTGTGTAAAGGAACGAGGTTAACGTGACTAGAAATTTGGAATTTTTGCGGAAGAAGGTACAGCTGGTAGAAGTAGAAGTAGAGTAGTAATTTTGCATTTGTACAGCTAAAGAAGATTAATTCGGGAGAAGTATTCTGGATATTGTGTAGAAGAAGGAGGTTAATTAGAGTAGAATTTTGGAATGTGTGTAGAAAAAGGAGGCTAATTAGAGTAGAATTCTGGAATGTGTGTATAAGAAGTAGGTTAACTAGAGTAGAATTCTGGAATGTGTGTAGAAAAAGGAGGCAGATTAAAGTAGAATACTGTATATTGTGTACAAAAATGAAGTTATTTTGATTAGAATTTTGTACTGCGTACAACTGAGATAGGTGAATTAATAAAGAATTCTGAATATTTTGTAGCAGAAGGAGGTTTTACTTCCTTCTACGCCTTAATTAGAGTAAAATTCTGGATTATGTGGATTAGAAGTAGACTAATTAAAGCAGATTTCTACATTTTGTACAACCGAAACAGGTGTAATTGAGCAAAATTCCGCATCTCACGAAAAATTAGAGTAGAATTCTGCATAGTACGCACCAAGAACAAGCCAATTAAATCAGAAACCGGAAGAATACCAATCGGAATACCCAGAGATGCAAACTTACCGGTATAGGTTGCGGATCACTGAGATGCGGTCTGAGATGCTGGAATATATCCGGTAAATCGTCAGGTACGTCGTACGGATGAGATTCTATAAAAGCGCACAAACCCAAAACGGCCGAATGTTTCGCCGTCGTGCTGTTTCCCGTCGAATTCTCCTTCTTCCTGTGTTTTCCCACCTTCGCCTTTTGCTTGAAGTGCGCCTGAAAACATCGCACACAAACCATCAGGTAAAAAAAGACTTCAATAAAACCAACCACTCACCAGCAACACCTGGGGCTGCGGAATGAACTGGCAGTGTAAAAGGCCGCTCAGAACTTTCCCGGCTTGCGTTCGCACTTCGTGCTGACCATCCTCCAGCAATTCCAACACGATCGATTGTATCTACAACAGAACCCGAACAATCTCACTAATACTATAAAGCTGTAAGGCTCAAATTCGTAGGGTCATTCGGGAGATTTTTTTTACGGCCGCCGTTTGTCTTTTTCGACCGGGAAAAGTATCGAATCCTATGGAAACGCATACGCCCGATCGAAATATCGACGTTTTGACTCGATAAAATTTCATCTTCAGTGTGAAATGAGCGAAATAAACGTTTTTTTTTCGGTTTTTCGCACTTTTCTCGAATCGAGTTCGTTCGATTCGCTTCAAAATCTCCCAAAAGATTCCCCATCGGTTCTCTCGACTTTCGTATACAGCCGTTTTCCAGGAAAAAATCGTTTTGGGAAAATATCGTGGAAAATAGTTTTCGAGGGTTTTCTAAAAATCGAAATAACTCGTAAACGGTAAGATTTACGAACTATTTTCATACTTGCAAAATAATTGAAAATTCTTTTTTCCATTCAACAAAAGAGACCCGGTGTTTTTCCGATCTGTACTTTTTGAGTTTTTTCGAAAAAACCGTTTTTAAATTGTCTTCAAGTTTGTAACGCGAAAACTCGGAAACTATCATCTTTTAGAAAATTTTGACAACGAAAATTTATAGATACGACATTTTTCTATCAACCAAATTTTTTTCCCATTTTCTTATTTATTATTTATCGAATTATAAAGATTTTTCGAAATCGATGCATATTTTACGGCAGCCGTCGAACCGGAAGTGAAAACTTTCAGATCTACGATGACGTACGATCATTCCCGAATGAAAGACAAAATGGATGACTTTTGCGTTTCTATGGTTACGTTGACATTTAATTTGATGTACAGGGTGTTTTTTCATTAAGGAAATCGGAAAAATTGATATACGGGGCGTTTTTTCTATCTTAAGTGAAAAATTATTTTTAATTAAATTGAAATATAGTACAGGGCGATTCGTTTTTAAGGAAAGGTTAATTTCATAAACCGAGCGAGCGAGGATCCGGCTATATAACTGTCTTGCGGGTTTATTCGGCAGAGCTCATTATTGCAATTACCAATAAATTCGAGCCAGAATCGTATATGTAACTGTCCCGAGCTGATAAGCGAATCGAATAATTCACAAGCGACCCTTCGAACTCACCTCTTGCACCCATTCCGGCCTCGAATTGATGGCGGCCATGTTGTAGAAGATGTAGATCGGCAGGAATTCCGCTATGATGGCCCGCGCGGACCACGACGGACAGCGGGCCACCTTTCTGATCACCGCCATCGCTTCGGGAATGTACGCCGGCGAAGTGCCCGTCTCGGACAACACCACCAGCAGATTGGTGGAGACCGTCGCCAGTTCCTCGTCGCTCTCGTTGTTTTGGAAGAGCGCCGCCAGCGGAATCAGCTCGAGGAATTCGGTGCGGATCGAGTAGTTCATGCGCACCATGTAGGTCATCACGAATTTCGCCACTGGAATGCGTCAGATGGTGAATTTGGCGAAGCGGGGAACGGATGATCTACAGGCCTGGATGTACAGGGAAAGGAATGGAAACGTAGGAACCATAGAGAAGTGCAGGAGAGTCCGGGGAAACATAGGAACCATTGGGAAACATATGGAAGTCCAGGGACAACACAGGAACTCTAAGGAATCATAGGGAAGTCTAAGGGACAACAGGAAAGTCCAGGGATTTATGGAGGAGCATAGGGAAGTCTAGGAAACCATAGAACTCTTCTAATTTATGGAGAAGTTGCGTCCAAGGTAGCAAGGATTGGCATCTTATGAAAGCATAGTGAAACCAGGGGACCATAAGGCAACATAGGGAAGTCTAATGAAACACAGGAACCATAGGGAAATACAGGAATCATGGGAAAATGTAGAGAAGTCTAGTGAAACACAGGAACCAAAAAGATTTCTAGGTGCACACTGGATCAATATGGAAGTCTAGTACGATAGAACCCAGCAAGTTTATAGAGAAACTGCTACCAAGGTGTCAATGGAAAGGGCGCTATTTTATGGTGAAACACAGGAAGCCTCAACTCAAGTATCTCGCTTTGATATATTCACCTGTTTTGTACAATCTAATCAAAGATTCCCTTTCATCGCTATTGCCATCCGACGAATTCTTATCCGTTTTATCGTTTTCGATCTTCGCCAACGACATGTCGAGCAAATCCTTCATCTTCGGCGCCACCACCTCGAAGAATCTGCTGCGAACAAAAAACAAAAACCACGCCTCGATTACTCGAAACGCCATTCGATCGCCTACCGACAAATCCACCAACCTCAATCGTTCGGCGTCGTCCCCTTTGCCGGCGCGAATCTGATGACCGGTGTTGCTGAAACTGATCGCCAACAAAGCCGATATCCTCTCCCTGATGTTCTTGAACGGATGCGCCAAATGCGGCGCCAGATAGTCCAACAGCCGCGCCGATATCTCGGCGTTGCGCCACGATTGCTGGCTGATCGCCACGAACAGCAAATGCAATCGCGTGCACGCCACGATGATGGTCGGATCTTTGAGCGGATCGCGCAACAGGTACTCGACGAGCCAATGGTGCCGGTTCGGATCCCTCGATTCCAAGCCCATGGTGACGCACAGCGCCCAATCCGTTTGCGTTTCGGTCGAAATGTTGCCGATCGCTTTGTCTAATAGAGGCAACAGGATCGACCACAACGCCGACGCTTCGTCGTACTCCCAATGCTTCGAACCTCTGACGATGCCGCTGATTATTTCGGCGGCGCATCGCTGGCTCGATTCGAGCTTGTCGTCGACCAGACGCTCCAAATGGGGCACGAAGCGGCGCAGCAATTTGTCCTCGAATATCTTGAACAGGTTCTGCGAGAAAACGTTTTGGCGTTAGTGCTGTTTAGGGCTCCTTTTCGGAGGATCTATCCGTTGTTATTGGATGATATGCTCGTTACTAGACGACGTCAAGCAAAATGATCAACTCTATTGGTGGATATGCTCCTTACTAGATGACGTTAAAGAGAATGAGCAATAGGAGGATATTCCTACCTTGAACAGATAGAATCGATAGACGTTGAACTGGTCCCGGCCCTTTTTCTCCTCCAGCGACAGGAATTTGATGAGTTTCTCGACGTTGTCGGGATTGTCGAAGAATCGATAGATGTCCCGTTCGATTTCGGTCAAATCGTCCAATCGTTTGGCGGCCGTCCGTTGCTTCGACGGCGAATCGTACAATTCCAATTTCTTGGGCCAGGCGTAGTAGCCGGTGTATTGATCGTGAACGTACCTGCAAAGCGGAATATCGATAGGAGAAAATCCGAATCGAAAGGAAAGCTTCCTCTCTCGAATGTACCTCAATTCCTCCCAATCCTTCGAATTCCTCGGTATATTCTCGTCGTTGTAGACCAGATGTTTGTTGTCCTCTCTTATACCGGGCTTGATGTCTTTCGATTTAACGGCGACTTTGACTTCGACTTTCTTGTACCGTATTTTATTCTGTACCAGTATATACACCAAGATCTTCATCGAAGTCTTTCGCACCGTGAGGGAATCGTCGATGGACGATGCGAGGAAGAATCGCACGATCCTCGGGCCGTAATTCACGTCGAAGTGCACCAAATCCTTGAGGAAATTGATCGCCATCTGATGGTACCGCCAGTGTCTTCAACAACAAAATACACATCAAGTACCTGCTAGGCGTCGTGTAATTATAACGTACAAAGTACCGGACTCCAGCGCGTCTATAAGCGAATCCAAAGTGGCTGTATAAGCGGCACGTCTCTCCTCGCTCTTCCTCTTCAAATAATCGGTACCGTTTTCGATTAAATGTCGGCACGATTTCAAATCCACTTTGGGCACGTTCCCGGCGAAGTTAACGGCGCATTGTATCACGCTATCGGGTATTACCAATTTAATGGCGATGGTAGGGAAGAATTTGTCTATCGAATCGCCCAAGGCCATCATCAGGTTGATTATCGAAGGCTTCTCCGACGGTTTCGATCTGACTAGAAGAGGCCACAGTTGTTGAATGAACTTCCAATCGTGCCTCGCTATTATCGGAGCCGATTTGGGACCTAAAAAATATTACTATTTAAAACTACAGTTCCGAAACTATCCTTTTAAACGTACCTAGAAGGATGTACAGGCATCCTTTGAATTTCTCGTGGTTTTCCTCGGAATCCATACAAAGGATCTCTTTGATTCGATCGGTGAGCACCGTATAAGAATAAGGAAAGTACGATACAACGCAGAACAATCGATTCTGAGCCACGATACGAACCTGCGAAATGCGCAAATAAATAAATCTATTAGAAATCATACGAAATAATCTTTTACTTCGCTGTATCGAGAGGTGCTCAGTTCGAACAGATCGGCCAGGATCATCTTGTGGGTGGCGGTGAACGAGCAATTCCTGCTCTCGATGCGGAACTCCTGCTGCAGCATCACCCTGTCGATGAGCACGTGCCGCAGGTGGAGCTTCTTCTGGTGCAGCCGGTCCTCCAGCAGCTTCTTCGTCATGTGGAAGCTCTTCCAGTGGAACTCGAAGTCCTGACCTCTGGTCTTGTTGAACAGGATTATGTTGTATATCTTCAATTACATAAACTTTTTAATAATCTATTAGTACTTATTGGTACTTAACTTACTACTATTACGGCTTGGATGCTTTGGGTGTCTCCTTCGTCGATTTCCAATATCTTTTGTACGAGTTTGTGTACGACGTTTACAATGGTTTTTCTTACGTTGGTTCCGTCCGGCATGGTGACGGTACCGCTACCGCTGACTTTCAGATTAAACGTCCAGGGTTCCAAGGCGGATTCCACTCTGAAAATCCACCGGTTAAGTCTCGTTAAATGGTACAATTTGCTGGATGTGTTACAGAGGGTAGGTTTCTTCTTCCCACATGGGCAACAACGGTTGGCAGGACAGCAGGGATATGATGATTTTTAAAGAACGCTTCAACTCCTGCCGGGTCAATGCTCGCTCGCCCTTCGAATGGTTCTCTAATTTCTCCAGTTCCGGTAACAGGTACTTGCCGAGGAGTTTTTGCACCATTTCTACTTCCTCTTTACCCGGTACATACCAGGATATTTTCAGATCTTTGATTTGCTCGGCTTTGCCCCATTCTCTGTAACGCGATTAATAGTCAGAACAATGTTTTATTTGCGTGAAATCGCCAGTAGTTTACCTGATGGGTAGGAATTCCTGCACGGGTTTGGAGTAATCGGCGGCGCAGCTCTTGAGCTCGGTGGGTTGGATGTTAGTTAGAGACAACATGATCAGCTCTAACATTCTGGCCGACAATTGGCTGGCGCTTTGACAGGTCATGTGCAGGGTTTTGTCTAATATCTTGGTCAAACGGCCCATGTAGCCCAACAACTCCGATCGTCCGTCTACCAACTAAAATTATACAAAAAAAAAATGTTAGTTTTGAAGCATTATAAAATTGGATCGTAAAAGGGCGTTTTGATCACTTGGAGTTGAAAGGGTGTGATGCTACTTAGTATATCTCAAGACAATATATGAGGGTATATCTGATAAAAATTTCACGTCTCTAGCTCGACTATAGTCAATTTTACAAGACATCAAAATAGTAGGTTATTCATTTTAAGAAAAAAATGTAGGTCTTATTCCAAGGGGTAGTTCTACCCTTTGTAATGGAGCTAGGATGATGCTACTTGGTAGACTTCAAGACAATATATGAGGGTATATCTGATAAAAATTTCACGTCTCTAGCTCGACTACAGCCAATTTTACAAGACATCAAAAAAAGATTGTCGCTAATTAGGACGAGCAGTGTATAACTCGCTAGAAATAGTGTACTTACTTCGGATAATAACAGCAAATTATAGAGCAATTCGTCGTCTATATGCTCCTCGTTGACGATATTGGGATTTTCGTTGAGCAACTCTTCGATTCTATCGCATAGATAAGGCAAAAACAACTTCAAAGTCTCCTTGGGATTGACTTTGGCGAAACAGTGGCAACTGATGGCTAACAATTTGCCCGAAACGTGCACCTCCATGACCTTGTTCGTCACGAAATTGTACATTTTCTTTAAGGCACTCTACAAGCAAATTCCGATCGATTAATTAACAAGAAATTGGTGTATTTTATGCATAATTACTTTGAATATATCGGGTGAACATTGATTCAAAACCACTCCTATGACCGAACCCAAAGCGCTCTCCGATATCGTCTCCAATCTATTCTTCATATTCTCGTTGTTCGTCATTTGCTCTAACCTGATGAAATCCAAACTGTTCGATTCCATCCACACGCAAAGCTTGTCCAAAAACTACAATAATACTCAATCAATTAACACTACTTCTTCTTACATCTTACACATCTCTCTCTTAATACTCCAATTTGTACCGGAGCTAACTTCAGACTGTCTATACTCGAGCCTAGTTTTATAAAAAAAAAGTCGTACTCCTCCCGATTATTTCTTAACCCAGTACATCGTGAAGTAAGAGAGATTTTCCTAATTAAATCAACGGATTATCGATTGAACTGGAATATATTTTACCTGTAAAACGAAATCCTCGAAATTGGCTGTAGCCTCACACACTGCGTGCTCCTCTTCGGAGAGCTCGTAATAATTACTGGCGCCCGACGAATCGATCAGCGGTATCATATTGACGAAATGCACGATGAAATTGAAGGTGACGTACGATTTTCGAATATCGTTCGGATCTATACCCGGTAGAAGTTCCATCAAAAGCGGTATGACGTGCGTGGGACCTTCCGGGTAGTTGTTGCGGGCCCCTTGGACCATATACCTGAGGATAATAAGGAATGTAAACATAACGAGATGTTCTAAACGGGTTTTAGAGCGTTCTAAATGGTTCTGGACTTATCCCGGACCGCTTGTAATAGTTCGCAAACCGTTCTAAATGGTTCTAAGATCGACCTGAACTGTTTTGTATGGTTACAAATGGTTTTGAACAGTACCAAATGACTCTTAAACACCACCGACACTCTCTTTCTCGCACTCTTGTTATTTCTACACCCACATCACCCTGTATATTTTCCAATATTTACCTTCCGCAAGCGATAACGGCCATCATGGATGAAGTTAGCTTATTGGGTTCCGTGAGGCTGTTTACGGACGAATAGAGCTTCTCTAAGGTCATCGGTACGATAATGTTGGGCCTCAAGCAAGATAGATATTGCAACGTCAAGCTGGTGTCTTGTAGACCGGTTCTATAAGAACTATACATAATTAATAAAATATAACAAAAGAGATATCGGGAGAGCGGTACCTGTTGTACAGGGCTTGCTCGATGCATGGTTTCAGTATGTTGACGAATCTGTCGAGATCGTCGTCGGTCAGTTTGAAACGATCGGGCACTTGGAATTCCCAAGATGGCGTTTTGTAACGCTCGAAATGCACTCTTTGTATGAAGTAGAACGACAGGCTGCGAAGGAGCTCCCTCAGTTTACCGGACCATCTATAATGAACAATAAAAGGAGATGAGTACGATTTTTTTTTACAAAATTACGTATTTTTTACGAAATTTTAAATTTTTTCCGTTTCCTATTAGGGCCGCAATTAAATTTTTAAAGTTTGACATACGTCAAATGTCATTAACTATTTGTTCGTTTCTTCTATTCTTTCAAACATTCCGTTCGAATTCTTATGTCACTAATGACACAATGTAACTCGTTCGTTTTTGTGATTGGTTAATGACTTTTACACGTCACCTGTCAAAATTTCAAATTTAAAATGGCTACATTTCCTAAAACATTGAATATTTTCAGCAATTAAAAACTGCTTCGAGTTCTAATGACTTATTTCTATTCATATATCTGCTTAAAAACCGTATATCTCACATCGTACTCCTCTCCATTAGGCATATTAAATCAGGTATTATATACAACGTTTTACCTTCCGCTATTAGCCGGATAAAAGTACGATTCCAAGCTCTGCATGAACTTTTCGAAATGGAAAAACGCCACGTTATCGTCCCCGTTCAGCACGTACACTATCCACATCGCCATGGCGGATATTTCGATTTTGTGGCTGCGTCCCATGTGCCTCTGTTTAAAGGCCACCGGCAGCTGGAAGGTCCTTTGGAACCGCACGAACATCTGCGGTATGTAAGGTTGCCAATCGATCCGGCCCGTTTGGTGCCTCGCCAGGCCCGTCATGATCCACATCATGTTCTACAAAAAAATAAATCGATACAGTTGTAATCGCAAACAGCCAATCGTAGAGCCAATCGGAGCTTTGCGATTAACGATCGAGTATTGCTGTTAGTGTGAAGTTTATTACGTTTTCCCATGTACTATCGTCCTGGCAGGTGTCCCACAAATTCATCAGTTCCTCGAACCACAATTTGTACCCCCGATCGGCCTCTTCGACTTTGGTGCAATTCGGTAGAAACAATTCTAAGTATCTTATGGTACTGGCCATTTCGGTGTTGTTGTATATGCACAATTTCGGTCGGAATTCGTCTAAAATGTCTTGCGTAGCAGTCGCCGGGAAGTAACTGGAAAATCGCGAAATAAATTCCAAATAATAGGAAAGCGATTAATGTAATAAACATACACTTTACATATTCTAATCAAATGGAATAGAGTCATTTCGAAATTGGCCGCGTATCTGTACATTCCTATGCTCGTTTTGCTCTTCTCCGTTACCTTTACGCACAAATCGTACAACGGTCTCCAATCTAATTGCAAGTCGTCCCTCGTGAGCAAATATTTCTTCCTAAAAATAATTACGAATCAAAATAAAAACATTTCACAGTGGAAATACAATTAAATATTTGATCATTAAAGGGAAAATCATAATCTCAGTTAAATTTGGCCTCCAACTAGTAAGGATTCCGGCCTCGAATAAAAAAGAATTCTCCTTTGTATTCCCGGTGATTTAACCTTTAGAAAATATTATTTGGGGCTTGGTTAGGTTGAAAATCGCAGAAACAATCTTACTTTAATAACTGACCCAATGTTGTGGCGCATTTGTTAATCCTAGTAGGCTCTAAATCAGGAATGACTACCAGTTCGTAAAATAGCTTTACCAAGGCAATGTGGTCCTCTTTGGAGAATTTCATCCCGTATATTTTAATATACCTGAAAAGAAAGGTGTATTTTACTATTTTATTGCGAAAAAATACGTCTAAAGTGTCTCGTACTTACTTCATTAATCTGGATGTCCATAAGGCACAGCCTGGTCTCATTTCTTTGGCTAAAATCGATTTAACTAAATTGGTTTTGATGTCCTCGAATAATTGGGCGGATTCCACTTCGAGTTCGTCGGCGTAGGGCAGCAATTTGTTGTAAACGTTCTCTTTTTGGGGCCTGAAGGGCCCGTTACATTCCACCGTTTCCATTTCGACGTCCATTTTATTTTCGCGTTAGGATTGCAACTGAATTCGTTCGCATAAATGTTTAGTAACTTTGTGACTTATTCAAATGCAGTTCACGTTCGCTTTCGAAAACGTAATGTTAATTGAAAGACGTCTATTTATGAAAAAAAATTTTGCTGCAGTCATCACGGTCAACACAATTTCAACAGCTGTCACTGTCACCCTAACTGTCACTGTCACTTCGACTGTCAGTATATTCGCCCAAGGTGAGTAGGTGCACAAAGGTAAGCTCAGTAATGACGTCACATTTTTTTTATATATTTACAGTTTAAATAAATTATACAATCACTTTGGTACTAACTAAAAACGAATAAATAACGTTGTTATCATTGAGCGGAAACGGTACGGCATTGTTCTGTTGCTGCTTCGACGGCTCCGATTATTGCCGAACGGAATCCTGCAAAGAATAACTTTATTAACATTTCTCTAATTGAAATTTATTAGACATCCTTCTCAAGGGACTTAATCGTGCAACTATCATCCAAATGCTTCTGTCAAGTCAAAACTAGGGTCTTTAACTGCTAAGGATAACAGCCTACAGCCTCGAACGCATACCTTTTTGTTCTAAATGATGCAAACCGTGCGAAGTGGAGCCAGCTGGTGATGATACGTCGTCTTTGAGTTGCCCAGGATGGATATTCGTATCTCTAACCATTTGCCCAGCACCCAGGACAGTTTGCGAGGCCAATCGCAAAGCCAAATCTCTAGGCAAACCCATTTTAACACCTCCATCGGCCAAAGCTTCTATCATTATATACACCTAAAATTATTAAAAAAAACCGGTAAATCCTCGGCAATTTTAGTAATTTACAGCAGCTTTGGATTTTCTACATCTTCTTTCTGTTAATGGCAATCGTGGCCTCTTTCTGTGCTGAAAAATAGCCACTCTATAGACTTACATAAGCAGGTCCGGATCCGCTCAAAGCCGTTATGGGATCCAGGTAGCTTTCGGGCACTTCTTCGCAGGTTCCGATCGATTCCAGCAGTTTTTTGGTAATCACAGCGTCTTCTTTGGTAGCATTCGAACCGGTTACGAAAACCGAAGCCGCGCTTTGAACTAAAGCCGGCGTGTTGGGCATCACCCTAATTATCCTAGCCTTGTAGGGGAGCAGCTAAAATTCATCAGAAAAATCAATAAATGACTGAAAATAGAATAAAATGGGCTAGGGTGAAGACATTTTACAGGGTTCAAAGTAGTTTAGAACTGTTCAAAACCATTTGGAGAATGGTAGAACTGTAGGGTAATCCCAAAGAAAAAATCTTTAAAGCATAAGTAAATGAAATTATAGTGAATATAAAATATTTACTTGTTCTAATTGTTTAATAGTCACTCCCATGGCGATTGACATAAATAATTTATTAGCCTTTTCATCATCCCTTTTGATGTCGGCTAGAGCCACAGGAATTATATGTGGTTTTGTGGCAAGTACTACTACATCTGAATCATTTACCACTCGGGCGTTTTCGAAGGTTGTTTTTGCTCCTATTTCCTATTAAAATGATTAATATCAATAAATAAATCGGTGCGAATAATACACCTGTACCTTGAAAGCCTTTACCGATAGCAAATCGGAAGGGTGGCAACTGGAAATCATCGATTCCCCTCGAGTTAATCCTGTTTATACAACGTAGAAAAATAAGTTATTTTATTAGAAATAGTCTATAAAATTCGCACCTGTTTTTATGAATCCTTTGGCCATCGCCTGCGCCATTTTCCCGCCACCGATGAAACCGATTTTGATTAATTTGCTCGCCATTTTATTAAATTTCTGTGAAGTTACGCAGCTTTATGTAATGAGAGTCGAACTCAAACTGCGACCTGGGATATTTTTAATAAATATGGTAAATATCCAAAAATTTCCGATCACTTATCGAACGCAAATATTACAAAACACCGACGTGTTTACTTAGGTACGTAATGGCGCGATTACCATCATCCCAAAGGGGGTTGTTTTGAGACTCAATTCGAGACCAACTTTCTCATCGCAAAAAATTCGTATCTATACTATTTCTTTGTTATTAAATCGTTTGTAACAGTATATTATTTGTTTTAAAAAATTGATACGGTATTAAAATTGTGTCAAAGTTTATCGTGTACATTTTTGTTCCTTTCCCTATATCAGTTATCCTTGTACGAAGTAAACAGATTTAGCGTCAATCTTATTTATGCGAGGTTCTAATTTAGCTTAAGAATTTATTTATAAACATTCAAAGTGTTATCTGCGCTTTATTTACGTGTACAAATACTATTACAAATATTCTTACTAGGGAGATACAATTACCAACTTCTAATAAGTTGGCACTTGTGACAAACGTCACTTGTCAATAACTTGCGCTGAACAACCTCGCTAACCGAGGCCTCTAAATTAAATCAATTTCCTTGATTGCCCTATAATTAAATACACCATTGACCTTCTACCATATCTGATCGGTGAAATTATATACTTCGTTTCTACTCGGCTGATAATTTAAAAAGATTAAAACATTCGTATAAATAATAAGTACACTTTGAACTTTGCTGTATCGAAGCGGGCGTGTTGCTAGTGTAGAATCATGGCTCCCAAATTATACGGAGATGCTCGAAGTCCTTGCGTTAGAGCCGTTTTGCTCACCGTAAAAGCCCTAAATATCGATGTGGAATACGTTAAAATGGATTTGGGTAAAAAGGAGCACCTAACGGATGAATACCTGAAGGTAAACGAAGTACTTATGGTTGTTTGTTAACTGGAGATAAAGATTCATTAATATGCATTCAGATATTCGATTGTATAATTTATTTATTTTTAGATTACGAGACGAGTTTAGGTTTCTCTTTTCGAGTTGAATATTTTAATAAAATTATTAGGCGAGTTGGTAAATTATTTTGCCAATTGTTACTTTATAACCGGTTATTTTGTCACTGCATTATGCGATATGTGAAGTAACAACTTGTTTTTTTTTGCAAAACTTAATTTAAAGTGTTATCTCTATAAGTTAATATACAAAAAATAATCGTGTAAAAGTTTTAAATGAACCACATATACTCAATATCTATTCACAATAGAATATAACTGTTTTATAATATTTTTTACATTGTTATTTTGAAATAATATTCTCCTGTAAAATTGAGAAGCTTTCCTTTTTTAAATTAAATTTGAATTATAATTAAGAAGCGAGTAGGTCAATTATTTTGTAAACTGTTACATTATAACCGGTTATTTTGTAACAGCAAGTGAGGCAACACCTTTAACATCTTGTTTTGCTTGCAATCTGTTATCTCGTTAATTTTTAAACAATTCACTGGAATTATCTGTAATTTTTTACTGTATATTTTTCATATAGTTGAACCCCAGGCACACAGTACCAACATTAGAAGATAACGGTTTTGTAGTATGGGACAGTCACGCTATTATGATCTATTTAGCGTCAAAATACGGCAAAAACAATCCTATATACCCTGATGATGAGCAAAAACGAGCAGTAATCAACCAAATGCTATTCTTCGAGACAGGCGATATATTCTCCGCTCACAGACACATTTCTGTAAGTTAAATAAAACCCAGCAGGTTATCTCACATTAAAACACAAATTCCAGTACCCGATTATCTACAAAGGCGTCAAACAAACGCCCGTAATTTGCACCGAAGAATTGGAAAAAGGATACAAATACCTGGACGAGCTGCTGGCGCTTTCCAAATTCGTGGCAGGCGATGAAATGACCATCGCGGATTTTAGCATCTGGACCACCCTGTATAATTCGCAGATTTGGATTCCGCTCGACGCGGGGAAGTACCCCAACTTGGGCCGCTGGTGCGCCATTTTGAATAAATTGCCTTACAAGAATTTGAATATGGAGGGATCCGAGGAGTTCATGTCGTTTATGAAGGATTTCTTGAAGAAGCAATGATTTATTTAGCTGTTTAAGAGGGTGTAAAGGGTTTATTATTACAATAAATTGGAGATAAATACGATAGAATCATATATTTTTATACACAAGTTCGATTGGATATAAATTACAATCATTGAATATAATAAATTAGTATTTTGTAGATAAAAGAAATTTATGATACTTTTCGATGGGAGTATGGCATGTTTTTTTTTTATATATATAGCGAATATATTCGTTTATAACAGATAATTGTTTTCGTACTAATAAAGTCCATTTTATTTTGGATAAATGCAGTTTTAATTACCTGTACACGAAATAAAACGCTTCATTTCTTACGCTCGTCGAATAATGAGAACGATGAGTAAAATATAATTACATTAAAAAACTGAGTTTGTGGAGTATGAGTTTTCACGAAAAAGTCCGGCAAATTCGCGCAAACTGTTATATTACTGTATATACAAAGTAATCTATTAAAGCTTAGTGTTGGGAAGGGAATTTCGTTTTATTTTTTTTTTCTGTAATTATTCGAGATAAAATTAATCAAGTATAATGAAATAAATGTTTTTTTTTCGATAAATAATTAACCGAATTTGCGCAAATTTACACAAACCACCTATTACTAGTAAATATAAAGGGTAATTGATTTACAAAGATCATGTAAAAATTAAAAACAATATGGTAACAATGGTGTGTTTGTGTATGTGTTGCTTGTATGTAATTACCTGTAATAAATAATCATCAATTACCCCGTATATTGTTTTAATTATATACAGTTATAAAATGCTTTTAATCTATTTATTATCGTATTAATAATAAAATTTATTTGTTCGTTTAAATGAAATACTTCCATTGTAAAGGAACCGTCGAGACGCCGTGGAACGTATTAAAACAATTCTGTTATTTTTTCACGACATAGAGATGGGAAATAACCGTTCCACGGCGCCTCGGTTTGTGTTTCACACCATAAAAACTATTCTAATCATTTATTATATTATTATTTTTTGTTTGTTTAATCGCGTAAACGCCGCTAGTCACAATTCTAAAAACCGTCGATAACATTTCGTGTGTTACAGATTTTTTTTTCCACCATTAACTATATTATTATTTGTCATCGTATTTTAATTTTTCGTACCGAAAACGAAAGCTTCAACTTCAACCGCCCTATAACTTCGTTCAAAGAGATGGTATAAATAAATAAATCACAAACAATACACGATTATTAAGAGAGTCGACATGCAATTATTCGAAGTTTGCTCTTCACCTAGACATGCAATTTTCATATAAATATAATCGTTAAATATATATAATTTTTTCGAGTACACAGTACTAGCAAGTAACTAGAATTATTGCCGTTACAAATCGACCGAATTTCTGCATGAGCATCATCATCCATGTCTGTTGTGTTTCGGATATCCAGCAATCCAGAGTGCATTTTTAGTACCAGATTCTACCACCATTGCATCTGCTCGACTTGCACGTGCATCCTTTGCTTGATCCACAGCACTGTCAAATAGACGAATGTAGTGATGGTGATGAAGTAGAGGAAAGCAGACAGCATGCAGCCTGGAACGTGCTCGACGGGAATCTTCTCGTATCTGGAAACAGTCACCGGGATGCTTTAGAAATATGGAGGATTTGCTCAAGTTTTGCAAAAGATTTGATCGGTTTTTGTCTAGGTTTTGTCCAAGTTTAGTTCCTTTTTTGCTCAGGTTATTTGTCAATGTTTTGTGCAAGTTTTGCTCAAGTTTTGTTAGGTTTTCTCCAGGTTTTGCTCAGACTTTGTTCAGGTTTTGGTTAGATTTTGCTCGTTTTTTGCTAAGGTTTTGCTCTTATTTGCTCAGATTTTGCTCACGTTTTCACAATTGCTAACAGCGCTTTTGCTGAAACATTTGCTCATGTTTTGCTGATGTTTTGCTCAAGTTTTGGTCATGTTTTGCTCATGTTTAGTTCTTTTTTGCTCAGGGTTTTTGTCAACGTTTTGTGCACGTTTTGCTCAAGTTTAGTCAGGTTTTCTACATGTTTTGCTCAGACTTTGTTCAGGTTTTGGTAATATTTTGCTCGTTTTTTGCTAAGGTTTTGCTCTTATTTCCTCAGCTTTTGCTCATTTTTTGCATAATGAATTTAATAGCGCTTTGCTGAAACATTTGCATAAGTTTTGCTCATGTTTTGCTCATGTATTGCACAGCATTTACTTTCAGCGTTTTTGCTAAACATTCGTTCATAGGAGAAAATGGATAGGGAACATCAGAGAAATATCTAAATTATAGAGAAAAAACTAAAGAAACTTCCAGAAAAAATACCCCTGTTCATCTTTACCCATAATCTAGGAAAATCTGAAGCTCACCCAGCAGAACAAGTTACTTTCATTCTCCCTTCTAGCTAATTTATAAAGAGAAAACCAAAGGAACTTCCACACGAAATGTTTCTTGGACATCTTTAGCCATTATCTACAATAAAAATAAGCTCATCTACCAGCACAAGTCTCATTCATTCCCTCAATTTAATTAAAAAGACAAAACCAATGTGAATTTCAGAACAGCAATCAAGGACAATCGATAGCTCACCTGGCAATTTTGTCCTGGTCGAAAGCGCTGTTGTAACTCTGCACGACCAGCCCATCGTACTCCCTCTCTCCGTCGGGCGAATCGTTCTGCATGCTCCTCTCCTTGTCTACCTTCTGGTCCTGATAATAAAATGACAACTTGTAGGGCTGATCGTCGGTCGGCCGGAAATCCCGGACCATCGGCGCTTGAACGGGTCGGTTATCATCGGTCGAAGTCGTTTCGGAATTGCGATTAGCGGCGTCCGTCAGTCAGTAGCATTTCTTGGCGCAGGCGCACTTGCGCACGACGTCGACGTCTTTGGTGTACCGCGTGCCGTCGTTGCATATCAGCCGGACCTTCAACTGGAAAATTTATGTACCGTTCGAGGTGAATGCGTTAATCGTTCGGCGTACCTTTCGCCTTTTGGTCTTCCTCGCGTGACAGCAACCGGCGCCTGCGCAACCGCCGACGCATTTCGCCATCTTCAGCGGCTTCCTCGAGCGACAGCCGTGCTCCGAATAGTGCTCTCTGACCTGCTCTTTTCTACAACTAGGCGCTGGAATACACCAACAACATTCATCAAACACAAACACTATGAGTAAAACATCTAAGACAGTTTACCAGTACACACCACCTCTTAGAGTCAAGCCAATTAATTTACTTAGCTGAAGCAGAACGGTTAGTACCAAAAATAACTCGAATACTTACACTCGTCCTCACCTTGTTCGCAGTACTTCCCCCTGAAGCCCGGCCTGCACTTGCAGGCGTACTCGCCGTTTTCTGTCGGCAGGCATTTGCTGTCGTGCTTGCACCGGTTGCTCAGGCACGGATCGGGCGGGCTCGGCGGCTCGCCGATCATCCCGTCGGTCTCTTCGTCGCGGCGCTGCTGCTGCTGCTGCTGTTGTTGCTGTTGCAGCTGCAGCTGCTGGTCGTCGTCGTCGCGGTCCTGCTCGACCACGCCGCAGCCCGGCTGCACTTTCAGCTGCGTTTGGGCGTTGCCGAAGTCGACCGGTTTGTGGTTGATCCACACCTCTTTCATGCAACCTACCATACGCACTTTACATACACTGTATAACATCGTTTGTGGCAACTTACCGTGGAAGCTGGTCAGATTTCTGAGGTGCCATTGGGCGAAGGCTTCTTGTCCGGCTTCGGACGGTATTCCTCCTAAGTACATGGGTGTGGTTAGTCGCAGGTAATCCTTGGAACCGTCGTTGATTATGCTCCTGGCCAATCCTCTGTCGACTCTCAACGTAAAATTCTTTTTGATGGCTATCAATTCGGCTATGTGGTATTCACCGTCGGCTACCATTTCGAAGCTGTACATGGTGGATACTGGATAGTTGCCGATGTCGTAGCTGACTCGGATTCTACCGTTGAACAACTCGACGGCCAGATGTTCCTGGTGCCCGTCGTACATCAGAATCCCGTTCTCTTGCTTCGTGGCGAATATAATGGTGACGTTAGCTTCGGGTTTGGTTCGGAGCGGTTCCAGTTCGACGTACGAGGTGTTGTGGACGAAGCTGAGGCTCGTCAGGTACTCGCATCTTTTACCTACACATTGCGATATTAACCATCAATAATTCGCGTAGTTTAATGATACCTTAGAAGAAAGTTCATTGTATCTACTTCTTGACTTATCTACTACTTTTTTGAACGCTTCAAAAGCAGGATATAGATGAGAACCTACAGGAACCTTTTGATGACATGTATTATTAGTTGCTTAATGGGGGACCTAGTAAGGAGCTAGAAGATTCTTTAATATGGGGCATCTTCTTCATTGATTATTCCAGAAGTAATTATGACGAGGAGCTACAAGGAACTAGAAGATTCTTCAGTGTAGGTTTTAATTGTGCCATCTACTTCTTTGAACTCTACAGAAGTTGCAATAATGAGGAGTTGTAAGTGAGTAAAAGATTGTATTCATCTACTTCTTTGAAAAGTGCTGTAGAAGTACTTTAATGATACCTTAGAAGAAACTTCTTGACTTATCTACGACTTTTAAACAATTCAAAAGCAGAATAGATGAGAACCTACAAGAACCTTTTGGTCTTCAATAATTCATCTGGAAGAGAGATGTATTACCTGAGTAACCTGGAGCGCATTTGCAGATGTAGTCGTTGGCTCCTGATGGTTGGAAACAGACGCCGTGCACGCAGTCGTGGTGCTGACATGGTGATGTTTGTGGATACATCATGGCTACGAATGGCGTGATTTCGCACAATTTGCCGCTGTAATCGCCGACGCATTTGCAGAAATATTCGTTTACACCGTCTACACATGAACCTCCGTTCTGGAAAGTAAACAAGTAGAAGTAGAGCGAAGGTACTGATGAAAGTGTCAACGAAATTGGAGTAGGATGTGTTGAAGATATTAAAGTGGATGAACCAGTAGGTTGAATTGGATTGGATTGTTCGATTACCTGGCACATGTGGTTCTCGCAATCGTCGATGTTGTCGGTGCAATTCTCGCCCTTAAAACCAGGTAGACACTCGCAAGTGTAATAAAAATCGTGATCAACGCAACGACCGTGATTTTTACAAGGGTTATATTGGTCAGTGCAAAAGGGAATTTTCCGCTCGCAGTAGTCGCCCATGAATCCGGCGGGGCAGTTGCACCGGTAGCCGGCGACGAGGTCAAAGCAGGTGGCGTTGTTTTGGCACTTGTTGTTGATGCAATCGTCGATGTTGTGTTCGCACCGCATCCCGCTGAAGCCCGCGAGGCAGCCGCAGCTGTGAACAAATCGAAAAATCTGTGCTCACTCAAGCGGCTTTCCGAGAGTCCGGGTCGGCTTAAATCGGGAAAGAATTTTTGCTGTTCAACGGTCTGATGATGATCTAACAAGGAGCTAGAAGCTAGAAGATTCTTTAGTATGGGTCATCTTCTTCTTTGATTATTCCAGAAGTTGTTATGACGAGGAGCTACAAGGAACTAGAAGATTCTTCAGTGTAGGTTTTAATTGTGTCATCTACTTCTTTGAACTCTACAGAAGTAGCAATGATGAGAAGTTGTAAGAAAGTAAAAGATTCTTTAGTTATCTATTCATCAACTTTTTTAAAAAGTGTTCTAGAACTAGCTTTAACGATATCATAGAAGGATGTTCAGTGTCTCTACTTCTTGACTTATCTACGGCTTTTTTGAACAATCCAAAAGCAGGAAAGATGAGAACCTACAGGAACCTTTTGATGACATGTATTATTAGTTGCTCAATGGTCTGATAAGGACCTAACAAGAAGCTAGAAGATTCTTTAGTATGGGGCATCTTCTTCATTGATTATTCCAGAAGTAATTATGACGAGGAGCTACAAGGAACTAGAAGATTCTTCAGTGTAGGTTTTAATTGTGTCATCTACTTCTTTGAACTCTACAGAAGTTGCAATAATGAGGAGTTGTAAGAAAGTAAAAGATTCTATTCATCTACTTCTTTGAAAAGTGCTCTAGAAGTACTTTAATAATACCTTAGAAGAAACTTTATTGTATCTACTTCTTGACTTATCCAGGACTTTTTTGAACACTTTTTTGAAGCAGCATAGATGAGAACCTACAAGAACCCTCTAGCGTTCCACCGATCAACGAGCCAATTCTTTCCCGATTCGACCCGATCACAACTCTTCACCCATCGATCAGCAAAGACGCGCAACAATTCATCGAGCCCCAAAGGGCAAGGTACCTGAACCTCCCCTCCTCGAGCACCTTACACGTTCCGTTGTTACGGCAGGGATTGCCGTAACAAGCGTCGATCATAAACTCGCAGTTCTTGCCGTGGTAGCCGGGCGTGCACTTGCAGTGGTAGTCTCCTTCGGGCATCGTGAGGCATTTCCCGTCGTTCCGGCACGGAAATGTATAGCAGGCGTCGCATTTCGCCAGTATGTCGTTGCTCACTTTTCCTGCAACAAGGCGATTTTCTCAAACTCTGCAACGCTGCTTCTGCTTAAAGTAGGACGTTGGTAATACAAACCTTTGCAAACGAAGAACGATGAAGGTGTGGATAAGATGGATTTTCCTTTCATGGAAGGCGGTTCAGCGCAATGGGCGATTCCTGGCTCTACATAGTCGATTTTCACCCAATCTGAGAGCCATTTCAGGGTGCAATCGCAGTATAACGGGTTAGAACCCAAAGCTCTGGAACCAACTTCTGTAATACATGGACAAATATTAAGAAATTGTTCTACTTACAAATGACTGATAGATTTCAGGTTGGCGAACGTTCCTTCGGGAATTAACGATATTTGGTTACCGTGGAGAGATCTGGAAGAGTACCAATTGTAATACAATAGAAATTTGATGGTAAATTCACGTACAGTATTCTTAAAGACACCAAACCTTGTAACGAATCCCTTTGAATACACTGCAATTTATTATAACTTATTATCAACGTAGATAATTTGGATAAATTGTTGAAAGTATCATTAGACAACATCGCTATTCTGTTATTACTCAAATCCCTGCAATAAAACAATCAAACATTAATACCAACAACATTAAATGCAACGAAACGAAGCAACTAACAATCGAGTCAACGCCTTCAAATGCCTGATCCTGTCGCCTCTAACTCTATTGATCTCGTTGAAGTCCAAATAGAGCTCCGACGTTTCGGCCGGAATACCGCGCGGGATCTCCTTCAGCTTGGCGTTGGAGCAACGCACGACGGTGCCGGTGCACGAGCACATCGGCGGGCAGTAGTTCTCGCCCAGGCAGCCCTGGTCGCTCTCGCTCAGACATTTGAACTCCATCTTGGGCAGCTCCTTGATGAGGACGTCGGCGACGCGATCGGGCGCCGCGCAGCGCGGCGTCGAGCCGCTCAGGCCTTTGGCCTTCAGCCAGTCGGAGAACCAGGCCAGGTGGCAGTTGCAGACGAACGGGTTCTGAGCCAGGTTCCTGCGGGAGAGGTCGAAGATGATCAAAATTGCCGAGGAACGCAAAGTTGAGGTTGAATAATGAGGTTGATGGCGATGATAAAAATTGATGAGGAAAGCAGAGGTGGTTGAGGTTCAATAATGAGGTTGAAGACGATGATAAAAATTGATGAGGAGAGCAAGGTTGGTTGAGGTTCAATAATGAGGTTGAAGACGATGATAAAAATTGACGAGGAAAGCAAAGTTGAGGTTAAAGACGATGATAAAAATTGGCAAGGAAAGCAAAGTTGAGGTTGAATAATGAGGTTAAAGACGATGATAAAAATTGATGAGGAAAGCAAAGTTGGTTGAGGTTCAATAATGAGGTTGAAGACGATGATAAAAATTGACGAGGAAAGCAAAGTTGAGGTTAAAGACGATAATAAAAATTGGCAAGGAAAGCAAAGTTGAGGTTGAATAATGAGGTTAAAGACGATGATAAAAATTGTTGAGGAAAGCCAAGTTAGGGTTGAATAATAAGGTTAAAGACGATGATAAAAACTGATGAGGAAAGCAAAGTTAAGGTTGAATAATGATGTTAAATTCGATGATAAAAAATGATGAGAAAAGCAAATTTGAGGTTGAATAATGTGGATCTGTGATGAACTTACAGCGTGTGGAGGGATTGGAGAAAATCGAAAGATCCGGGCATCACGCAGCTGATTTGGTTGTTGTTCAACGACAGGACTTTGAGGTTGTGCAGGCCCAGGAACATTTTGTTGTGGATTTCGAGCAGTTTGTTCTCGGATAGCAATCTGGAAGAAACGGCAAATTAATAATTTAGGATGTGTAATGTGGATGTGTACGAACAATTCGGATATCTTGGAAGCTCCTTCGAAGGAATTCTCCTCGATGCCGGTGATTTGGTTCCTTCTCATGTCCAATTTGGATAAATTAGGCAAACGTCCGAACAACCCGTCCGATTTAATCCTGCCCAAATCGTTGTCGTGAAGTAACCTCGAAACAAATCAAAAATTAATTCACCAGTCTTTCGCAGTTTTTCCTGCTGGTTAAAATTAAACCGCACCAATCACTCGAGCAGAGATAAATGCACTTACAGTTCAGTGGTGTAAAGCGGTATATCCCTCGGTATTTCTTTGAGTTCTTTGCCGGAGCAATCTACGATTGTTCCGTCGCAGGAGCATCCAGCTGGACAGGCGTTATCGATAAGGCACTCTCCGGCGTATTTCGTGCGGAATTCCTCTTGACCTGATACGACAAAAAAAATTGTCTTTTTTTTATATACAGGATCGATTCGCAGCGATGTGGACAAAGGACTAACACAAATGGGTGAGAGAGAGTTAGAAATGGAGAGGAAGGTGGAATTAAAAGGTGTTTTTAAATTGTCCAGGAGTGTTTAATCTATAGTAGTACTTAGTAACAAAAAGCAGAATGATGATGAGATGATACACCAATTTAACACACCGATTATACAAAATGTTGTGATGAAAGACACCGCAAAACCACCTAAAAAAGTGGAATGTTGGCGCTTACCCTTACATTTGAACTTTTCGTCCTTCAAGGATTCGATCCTTCTGCGTTGCATGCGTTTGGGGGTCTCGCATCTCGCTCCTGAGGTCTCGATGGGGTTCTTGTGCAAATATTCTGCTAGCCATTTCAGGTTGCAGTCGCAGATGAACGGATTTCGCGCCAAATGGCTGTAGAAAATCCACAAAAAAATAGTACATTTTTGCATTCTTATAGTAACTTCATTTAATCGTATCCAGACGTCATGGATTAATTTTATTTTAAGCTACTGTAACTCTTATGGTATCTTCTACATTTTTTTTAATTATATTATCATTATTTTATTAATTATTGCAGATACATTGTACTTACAGTGTTTGGATGCTTTTCAACGAATCGAAACTTCCATTTGCCAATGATTGGATGTTATTATCATAGAGGGATCTGGAAAATTGAATTTGAAGTTGATATAAAAAATGATTAGTTTGTAAGTTTGGCTTACAGTAAGCTCAGGCTGTGCAAATCCTGGAAAGTGTCCTTTCTAATGCAGGATATTTCGTTGGCGTTGAGTAATCTGCGAAAAAAAATGTATTTTTAAATTATATTTGTGGTTTGTTGATTGTACTTACAGCAGTTGCAAGGACACGAGTCCTTGGAAAACTCCCGCCGGTAAGTCCTTGATTTTGTTACCGTACAAGACGCTGAAAATAAATTTATAATTTATGAAAAAAAAATTTCGCTATTTTTTATTAATTGCTACTTACAGGGACGTCAAGGCTTTTAATCCTTGAAAAGCGTCGGAGGCGATTTTAGAAATTTTATTGTTACTCAAATCGCTGAAAAAAAAAATTAATCAAAAATAGTAGAAAAAAATAGTACTAGATGCTTACATTCTGCGCAATCTCTTATGCACCACGAACGCCTTCGCAGGAATTTCCACAATCTCGTTCTGCTCGAACCGCCTGAAAGATAAAAAAAAAATCACCTTCATATTTCATCGATCCCAATCGATTTATCCACTTACAATTCGGTAATACCGTCCGACAAATGATCGGGAACGCTCGTCAATCCCTTCTCCCTGCAATCCACGATCCCATCAGCGCACCTGCAAGGATGCGGACACTGCGGCTCGCTGATGCATTCCCCGCTTATCGCCCTCTCCACCAAACCTAAACACCACCAAAAAAAAGCCAATTGTCAACTGTCAGATGTCTGTTGTCAACTGTCAGATGTCTATTGTCAACTGTCAGATGTCTATTGTCAACTGTCAGATGTCTATTGTCAACTGTCAGATGTCTGTTGTCAACTGTCGCTTGTCTGTTGTCATCTGTCGAACGTCAGACGTTGCGAAATACGTACCGGAGCATTTGAATTCCTGGTCCTGGAGATCGACGATGGGCTGGCCCTTGAGGTGGCTGGGCGAGTGACATCTGGTGTGCTGGGCGAGCCTGGGCGAGTGCCTGAGATAGCGGGCGAGCCAGGACAATTGGCAGTCGCAGTGGAAGAGATTGTCGTTCAATCGCAGCGTGCGCAGCCTGAACATGTTGCTGAACATGTCCTTGCCCAGCCACGTGAGATTGTTGTTGTTCAACGTGCTGGTCGAGGAAAGAGAGGGGAATTAATCGAGTGAGCCTTATTGATTGATTAACGGGGGAAATTCTATATGCTGGTGTGAAATTTCACGCCCTTAAATAATTAGGTTCTTCTCGATGATGTTTTGGAGCGATGGCGGTAAAATGGTCGGGTGACATTGACAAGTGGCAAGTGAAGTTCGTACGAGGCGACTTGATGGATTAATATATATTATACTTACAGCAATTCGATATCCTTCATTGTCTTTAGCGCTGTGTCGTCGATGCATGTTAATCTATTATTGTCGAGTTGCCTGGAATTTGTCGGATTAATTTAATACGAAATTAATATGTAATATAATACTTACAAATTTCTCAAAGACTGAACTCCTCGGAAGGTTTTCCTTCCTATCATGGAGATTTGATTGTGGCTTAGATCTCTATAAAAAAATTAGTTATTGTCGAATTAATTATTTATTTAGTTGTATTTCTATATAATCTACCACTAAAGCGCGCGGAATTTAATACGAATGATTTTTTTGTCTGTTAATATCGAGTAGGCGTAAAATTGATTAGGCAGTGCAGAAAGTGAAAGATGAGAGAGGAAAAGATGATGAAAACGAATATTTCGGTAATTTGCGTTAGTTTTGCTTGAGCATGAGAAAAGTCAAGTAACAAATGGAGAGACCATAAACACCCCAAAGAGCAGGATAATTTCAAGGACAGTACAATAAGAACTGTTAAAATAAATGATTAAATTAAAAATTCCTTAATAATACACGACGAGTTAACTCACTGTACTGTCCTTTGCAAGACAAATAAATTACTTACAAACGAAATAAATTAGGTAAGGTAGAAAATAAATTTTCCGGAATGTGTCGTATAGCGTTGCCGTTAAGTCGTCTAGAAAAAAAAAGCAGAAAAAAAAAAATAACACGATGGATAATGAGGGTATTCGGATGGCTTTTAAACTCCTACTTACAGTCTCTCTAAATTTACTAGATCTTGAAACGCGCCCTTTTCGAAGGACCGTATAGAGTTATCCGACAACTGCCTGCGAAAAACAATCATCAAGTCCAAAAAAAATCGAGGATTTTCCCAAAAAAAAAAAAAAATGGCTTCGAGTCCCATCTAGTAATCGAGAATTTATACTTACAGAATTTTCAGTTTGGACAAATCCTGAAAATCGCTCTCGTAGACGACGCTGATGTTGTTACCGTGGAGATCTCTGGAAATTAAAAAATAACACAATTATCCTACAACGAATGTTTTTTTCTCACATCGAAAACCCAATAAAACCAGCACGAATTTACTTGTTTATTACATGCAACTAACGAATCCAACCGAACAAACGCCCAGTAAGAGATTTGTACTTTGTCGAGGAATTTTAACTATTTTCTCTCCTGCTGCTCGACGCATTTGCATAAAAGTTGTGTTATCCAATTTAAATTTTAAACGTTTCCCAACCAGACTTATTCCGGCGTCGCTTCCAATTCGACATCGCCTTTTCACCAACTCGAAAATCGCTTATTACAAAAAAATCGCCACGTACCAGAAACATTTCATTTCACGCGAATTTTTTGACGATTTAACAAATATCCAGAAATTGTTAACAACTTTCCAGAACCTGTTAACAACTATCCGGAACATGTTAACAACCATCCAGAACCTACAACGAATTTTCGTTTATTTTAGAAGTATTTATTTTCGGTTTGTCTGGAAAGCGAACAAGTGGTTTCCATATCCGGTTTTTGTGTTATTTCTTCGTATCCCTGATTCCAGGCGGAACGTGTAGGGACACGTATTAAAAGACTTGTTCGCTATCGATCGTACTCGCGCGACTTCCGCATACGCGGGCTTTAATAATCCCCTTTTGAGGTCTTATTACGAGGAAAGCACCGAAGGAAAAGGGATCTTTGATTGCTTATTGTGGTTGAGAAAGGAAGAAAATTCCCCGGAGGGGGCGCGCCCGTCGACACCGAGTTTCCTAATTTTCCCTCTGTCGTATATTACGCACAGCTCCGCGCGTTTGATCATTTCCGCGACGGCTGGAAAATTTACACCGATCTTATCTTTCGATACAACTTCGAATTTTATTTTTAATGATATTTCAGATCCCTCAGAAACCGTAATTTAACTGCAAACCTGTCAACAGCTTTCCGGAACTTATTAACAGCAATCCAAAAGCTACTAACACTTTTTCAGAACCCGTTAACATTTTTCCAGAACCTTTTAACGATTTTCCAGAACCTTTTAACACTTTTCCAGAACCTTTTAACAATTTTCCAGAACCTTTTAACAATTTTCCAGAGCGTCATATAAACGAAATGAAACTTTTCAATCAAGAGCCGGTAATCCGCGTCGGCTTTTACCCGAGTTATCACGGTTATTATATGCGCGTATGCACTTTAATGGCATTTCCAGGGATGTGCACGCGTGTCCGCGGCACGTGCACGATCGTCCTCCTGCTGTTCTCTTCCTCCAGGTCCCCCTACCGTGTCGCCCGAATATGTAGGGCCGGGGCACCGTCAAAACAAACCTCAATCGAGGGTTCCTTGACCTGCGGCGTGCGTCCGCTTTCGGATATAGCGAAGAGAAAGCGAATAATCCCAGTGGCGTTGATGCGACTTTTAACAGTTATCCAGAAAAATGATTGTTGATAGAAATAAACGGATATTTTTGAAGAGGCGATTGTGTTAGAGTTTCGCTAATAATATGTATGCAAATTTATGAAATTGTACCTGGATATTCGTTAAAATTACTGGATTATTGTTAAATGTTCAGGACAAAATCTCAAATCATCAAATCAAAATAGTACCTATAGTATTTTTAATTGTTTGACAACAACATTTTGAGTTGTCGAAAATCCGGATTATTATTAACTATATAGAAAACAACATAAACTTTCCGTTTATCCGATTTAATATTTCGGAAAGTTGTTAAAATTCTGGCCGACGGTTAATTATGGAGAATTCGAAATGAACGTTCGCTCTCTATGCACGGCGGCCCGTTCGAGCGTGTACGAAAGGAACCTTAATAACAGGTGTCTCGTTTGAGTTCATCATCGCAGTCGACGGGCGTCGTTTGACTTCCGTCGCGACGTCGTCGACGTCAATTAAAACGAGCCGAATGAACGTATGGAAAATTTATAGACGTGTCTATTAAAAAGAAAAAAACGAATCGATCGAGTGATGTTTAATCAACGGAAACGTCTCTTGGAAAAGCGTTAACAAAGTCTGGAAAACGGTTAAAAAATCTGGATAAACGTTAACGATGAGCGTCGTCGACGCCGCTGGGTTTGTGAATGAGAAATATTATTTTGGACCTGTGCCACATTTAATTATTGATTCAATTACGAGCGCTCCGCTGTCTCTTGATACAGTGCATCTGGTTAAAACGCAATTATACAGAGGAAATGCTTATCTGTGGCTCGGTATCCTCTATTTTTTTTTTGTTCAATTCAAGTAAGTGGATCTGCTTTATGCGTTCCTAGAAGATGAGGCTCGCATTGACAGCCCTCCAGCAATAATTACTCATTCGAGCTGATAGATGTGCAGGTATTTGTCAAAAGTTAAGTGGTGTACTTAAAAATTCGATAAATTAACCCAGAAATACTTCGATAATATTCTATTCTCGAACCGATTGTGTTCTCAGTAAACATTAACGAGAACGCGCCGGCGGATTTTTCCGAATTCGCATAATAAATCAGTCGAGTTTTCCGGTCTTAGACGAAACCCAACTGGCGTTTTTCTCGCTATAAGACATGCAAATCGCTCGAAAGTGCCATTAGCAGAAAAATAAGAACACGAAAATATTGACACTGGCGATGACAAAAAAGAAACCTTTTTAGGCGAAATTATCCCACCAAAGTGCTCTCGAATTAAAATCGAAGAATCGTTAAAACCCCTGGAATGTTGTTACACGATCTGGATTGTTGTTAGAGGTCCAATAAAAATTTACGAAGTCTTAGAGGTCTTGAAACCTGGTTAATTTCATCGGAGAATATTTCTTTGAGAAGGTTAAATTAAAATCGGTGAATATTCGTTGGAGCTTCTGGAATGTTGTTATATGATCTAGATTCTTGTTAAACGATCAGGATTGATGTTAGAGGTCCAATAAAATTTTTCGAACTCTTAGAGGTCTTGAAACCTGGTTAATTTTCTCGGAGAATATTTCTTCTGGAAGGTTAAATTAAAATCGATGAATATTCGTTGGAGCTTCTGGAATGTTGTTATATGATCTAGATTCTTGTTAAACGATCTGGATTGATGTTAGAGGTCCAATAAAATTTTTCGAACTCTTAGAGGTCTTGAAACACTGGTTAATTTCATCGGAGAATATTTCTTCGGGAAGGTTAAATTAAAATCGGTGAATATTCGTTGGAGCTTCTGGAATGTTGTTATATGATCTAGATTCTTGTTAAACGATCTGGATTGATGTTAGAGGTCCAATAAAATTTTTCGAACTCTTAGAGGTCTTGAAACCTGGTTAATTTCATCGGAGAATATTTCTTCTGGAAGGTTAAATTAAAATCGATAAATATTCGTTGAAGCTTCTGTAATGTTGTTATATGATCTAGATTCTTGTTAAACGATCTGGATTGATGTTAAACGATCTGGATTCTTGTTATATTTACATTCAATAAGCATTTTTTGGGTGTTGCAGAGGTGTTGAAGACTTCTGGTTAATGTTGTCGAGTTGAAAATGAGAGTAAAAGTTTAATTTTACGAACGGGAAAGCCTCGTAAATTCGGAATTGTGAGTCGAATTTTCGGGGCGTGTGCGATCGACTTTACGGCCGAATTCCGGGTTTTTATCGCCGAGTTCGTCTAAATGCGTCCCCTTTAAAGTGCAATCCATCTCCATTGACACCTTCGAAAGAGCGTAAATAATGGAGCGGTCGTGGCGCTGGAAAAAGGAGTTTTCCGACATATGTAGCGGAATTCCGGGTGCCATTATTCACCGAATATGACGGTTTACGAATGGACGGAATATTGTAGGAAAAATATAAAAAAAATCCGAAGGCGAGAGAAAAAAAAACGGCGCGTGATTTTCGGCGAGTTTTTCGATCCACAAATGCTGGCGAAACGATATTTTAATTGCAGGAAAAATAATATAAAATAAGCGTTTCTCGAATCGAATAACTACTTTCCACAAACTATAAAATCTACAGCAATATTTTACGACTTTCCTCGCAGATTTGAACAACCCTATACTCGTAATTACCGATATCGGTTTAATGCGATTCCTTTCCATCAATATATGCGGCTGTAATCCAGCAGTTTTGGGCCATTTCCAGGAAACCGGCGAGCGGTTAAAGGGCGGAAAGGGCGCTGCCTTATGTATGTTGTTAGTTGCTGCGTCGGCAAGGAGATTAGCGAGAAGAAATCGAGGAACAAAGAACATTTTCGAACGCGAAAGTGCACATAAATTAAGCAGGAACGACGGTCATTACCGGTTCAGGGAGAGTTCTGATGGCAGTTCTGCATGGGATTTATGATGGGCAATTGAATTAATACGGGCGAGAGTGTATTAAAACGGGAACAAACAAAAACCGAACCGGAGAGGTTGTGTTATTCGGGAAAATTGCCGGGTCGCTGTTAAACATTCTGGAAACTTGTTAAAGATGCTAAAAAAACAATTTCAATTGTTAGATATAGGAGTATTTATGTAAGGGAAGTATTGCATTGGATATCTTTTTTGGAACAGTGTTAAAAATTCTGGAAACTAGTTAAGCATTCAAAGAAACAATGTCAATTAGTAGGAGTATTTAATAAAGCTGTTGTAAAGGGGAATTACTGAACGATTGTATGGCCTTCAACGAGTCAATAACTTATCCGAAAAGGTCAGAACGACTAATACACTAAATTGCGATACCGATCTTCCGATCTCCCTTCTGGCTTTCTAATCGATTTATTCTCGAGTTTTTCCCCGACCGCTCGGAATCCTCGGATAAACCTTTCTATCTACGTTAAATAATTACGGAACAAAACTGTTGCGTTCGAAAGATCGAACGCCTCAGATAAAACCGTTTAATTGGTTCTCTAGTCGCTCCCGTTCTCCTCTTTTTTTTTTCTCCTCTTTATCCGTCCTCTTCGCCCGCTTCTCATCGACGACTTGTTGCGACTCGCTAGACGAACGCAAACATGCTAAGTATTATTTATATCTACTATTCGAGTCGCCTTCGAAATGACAAGAGCTGCGGTAATGAATGGTACAAGGCGCGAAG